TTAGCTACGGGAAAAGTGTTCGAAACGATTGAGAAGCCAAGATGGCGGCAGCTGGAGGTAGCGGCGATTTGGACGCAGGAGGCTACGGCGACGCAGATGTCGACCTCCCGGGCCTGGAGGGCGAGGCGGGGCCAGACTCAGAGCCTGACTCGGAGGTGTTTTCGTGTGTGGCCCACTGCTCCGACCTCGCCCGCCGCCAGAACGAACAGCGGCGGTTAGGCCTCTTCTGTGACGTCACGTTAGCCTTCAGTGGCGGCAGCAATGAGGAGGAGGAGGAGGAGAGGGGAGTGGGCGGGGCCTTCCGCGGCTCCGACCCCCCGCCGCGAGAGTTCCGGGCTCACCGCTCCGTCCTGGCAGCAGCCACCGAATACTTCGCTCCTCTCCTCCTGGGCGACTTTGCGGAGTCCCGCTCGGGGCGGGTAGAGTTACGGAAATGGAGTTCGGGAGCGGGACCAGACCCGGAGACGATCGAGGCGGTCATCAGCTTCATGTACACGGGGAGCATTCGCGTCAGTCCTGGCAACGTGCACGAGGTTCTGGAGTTGGCCGACAGGTGAGGCGGGAAGGAGGAACGAAGTGTCAGGTGATAAGTCAGGCGCCGACCGACTGTTGTGTGTCGGCAGAAATGTTTGTCCGAGTTCTGATGGGAGAAGGTACCTTCACCCGAGGGCCTTCTTCGTGAAGGCAACCAGGGATGGTCAGTCAGTCATTCTCTCCTTCCCTGGAACTGTGAAAATTGCTCTTGGGTTCCAGTGTAGACCAGTGAGAGCTTTAGTTGGCGTAGACTACTTTTCCAGAAAGACTAGCCTAGCGTCTGGCTTGTTATAATAAGGCACATCAAGACGCTACTAGAATTGAACAAAGTAAAGAAATAAAGCCGAATGGCAGCATTAAACATGGCCCTTACCAAGGTGAAAATTATTATGGCAACACTTCTTCCCAGTGCAGTTTCTGAATTACTTGAGTTATAGCATGAAGGGGGACTGCTGGACAGTTGCAGAGAACTTCAGCTCTGGCACCTTTTGAAAAAGACACCATTTTTGAATGTCAGCTTAGTGGAAAGCAAAAAATGCAAGTTATTAGCTCGCCAACAATTCTCAAACCCAGAATTAAATATAAACTACTGAAGATGCAATTGGATTTGCCAGATATGAAATTGTATTTCGGCACTTGTTGTCCGGTCTGGCAAAACCAGAACAAGAGGCTAACTGATTTTGAATTAAAAGTTCAGATGGCCTGGTTATTTATGGTATGGCAAAGTTAAAGTAAATGTTGATTTCAAAAATCATTTTGTTAGAAGTTCCATAGTAAGAGTTTGAAATAAATACAAAACATTCATTTTTTATGAAGATGCCACTTTGGGTTTCCCTCCGAAGTAGCCTTTTTCAAAAAAGAAACTGTGGTGAAGCCGGACTGGTAAACTTAAGGGAAAATAATATATTTTAAATTTGGTGACCCCACCCTCAAATCCAAAGAAGAGTTAGACTCAGAAGGTTGTGTCTGCCATTCATTTACATATTTACAACTGAAAGAAAGTTTTAAATTAGGGAAAAAGACTTATGGGTTTGACTTTGTTAAAAATGAATTGGAAATCTTACTGCACGCTAGTGATAAACATGTTCAAAGATTTATAAAACATTATTAAAATTGAATTTGGAAAGTGAACATGTGAAGGCATTGTATGATTCATTAGGGAAGAACTTTGGCTATAATGTGATGTTTGAACAATGGAAGAATATGTGGACGAAGGGTTTAAAATTCACATTAAACTACAATTTAAAATAAAGATGATGTATCGCTTGTGTTCAAGACAAGTTATCAAGAATGTATAAAGATATTTCAAATGAATGTTGGAAATGTAAATAAGAGACTGTGTACCATTTATGATGAACATGTGATAAAGCAAAGAAATATTGGAGTAGCATTCATATTCTAATACAGAAAATTCTTAAAGTGAATATAAAGATAAAACCAAAACTTTTTTTGGGGGGGACGGGGGGAGCGGGGCTTAATGGGAAAAGGCTTGGGAAAAAAATTGGATCTTCGATGTTGGGTATGTTGACAGCAGCAAGATTATGCACAAAAATGGAAGGTTATTTCAATTCCCACCATGGATGAATGGCTGTAAGGTGAGCAGAGATGTCTAAATTGACAGTTTTGATCAAACAAAATAATGTAAGTAGTTTTGTTTCTACTTGGAAACTACTACTGGACTTTGTGCTTGAGGTGGAAAGAAATTAAACTTTGATCTTGTGTTTTACTGATTGATTAGTTATAAAAATGGCTAGTTTATACTATTATGGAAAAGTATAAAGTTGACGTTCAGTGTTAATGCCTTATTCTACTGTAACGGAGGGAGTCAGTAATCAATGCCTTCTCCCCCCCCCCCTCTTCCTTTTCAAAAACAAAAACCCGAAAAACAAACTAATCATTCTCAGGTGACATTTCTAAATTCCCTTTTTGTTTTGCAGGTTCCTACTAATACGTCTAAAAGAGGTTTGTGGGGAATTCCTCAAGAAAAAACTGAGTCTCTCCAACTCTGTCGCCATTCACAGCTTAGCTCATATGTACTCTTTGAACCAGCTGGCTTTAAAAGCTGCCGAGATGATCAGGAGGAACTTCTCCAAAGTCATTGAAGATGACGAATTCTATACTTTGCCATTTCATCTTATTAGGGACTGGCTTTCAGATTCAGAAATCACAGTGGATTCAGAAGAGATTCTCTTTGAGATGCTGTTAAAGTGGGTCCAGAGAAATCCTGATGAAAGAGAAAAGTATTTTGCAGAGCTCTTTAAGCTTCTCCGACTATCACAAATTAAGCCAACCTATTTGATTCAGCATGTTAAATCTGAAAAGCTGGTGTCAAGCAACGAAGCATGCCTCAAACTTGTGTTGGGAGCAGTGGAGAGCCATGCTCTCAAGGTTGAGAATTTTCAGTTGGATACACAAGTTAATTCCTCCATCTCATCTCAGCCTCGCTTTGGCCAAAATATGGACGTTATCATGGTCATTGGTGGTGTGTCTGAGGGAAGTGATTACTTGAGTGAGTGTGTGGGGTACTTTATTGATGAAGATAGATGGGTGAATTTACCGCACATACACAATCATCTTGACGGGCATGCTGTGGTAGTAACCAAATCCTATCTTTATGTGGCAGGTTCCATGGAGCCTAGCTTTGCCAAGACCATGGAAAGGTATAACCCAGTTAGAAATGTTTGGGAGCAGGTTTCCAATCTGATAACCAGAAAGCATTCTTTTGGACTTATTGAGGTAAAGGGAAACCTGTACAGCATTGGTGGCCATGGGAACTTTATTTCTGGGTTTAAAGATGTAGCTGTCTACAACCCTGATCAAGATAAGTGGCACAACTTGGAGTCTGCCCCAAAGATACTCCGGGATGTTAAAGTGATCACAATAGACAACAGATTTGTTTACATGGCAGCTCGCACACCAGTTGACGGAGATAATGAAGATGGCTTAAGGTCTGTCATTATTCGCTATGATGCAGACACACAACAGTGGCGAGATTGTGAGTCTCTGCCACTCCTTGATAACTATTGCTGCTTCCAAATGGTTGTGGGGAACACCAACTTTTACCACACCGCTTCGTGTTGTCCTAGGAGCTATCCTCTAGACCACGAAGAAGCCAAAAGAAAAATCTCTAATCCAATATCTAATGACATTCTGGAAAGCTTACCACCAGAGGTTCTTGGCATTGAAGGGGCGGCTATTTGCTATTACAAAGATGATATCTTCATCATAGGTGGATGGAAGAACAGTGATGATACTGATAAACAGTACAGAAAAGAGGCCTACCGCTACTGTGCTGAGAAGAAGCGTTGGCTGTTACTTCCTCCTATGCCTCAGCCTCGCTGCCGTGCTACAGCCTGTCATGTGAGAATCCCCTTTCGGT